TTGTTTACACATTTCTAAGAGTACTTTTAATACTTAAAATTTTTAATAAAATTAATACTTGATTCTAGTGGACTCTAAACATTGCATTTATTTAATGTGAATTAAATTTTCCCTTTGTAGTTGCACTCACAGCTGTAATGAACAGAAGCCCAGAACATGTGGATATATTGACATTAAGAACATGCTGACTTTCTCAGACTTTTGTAATTATTTTCTTTTTATTTCATTTTTATTAGGTTTGTTTACATTTTTACTCTTTTAGTTTTACATTGTCAATGGCTTGTTTACATTTATACTTTATGGTATACTACTGAATGGCAAAGTTGCAAGTTTAATAAAATGTTCTTTAAAATTGTTGATTTTTTTGTGTGGGAAATTAATCGTCTAGATTAATCGATTAGTCGATAGATTAATCGAAATAAAAATAGTCGTTAGTGGCAGCCCTATTACTAAGTTTCACCAGGTATTTCGGCTGCCGTTTCCACTGAACCACCTGCTGTTGTTCACTCTGACGAGCCGACCTCAAGGGTCGCTGTGGGTTTGGACACGTTTCAGTGTCATGATTGACGAGTCCCTATCTGTGCCAGGGACAGACACGCTAAAACTAAAACTAAAACCATGAAATAAAATTTACTTGAAATGAAATCGAATATTAAAAATGTATTTAAATTTATTTTAAACTCATTTCTCTCTTTTTTTTTTTTGTTTAACTTGAAATACTAAAATATCTAAAACTAAATAAATTAAAACCAATAAGTAAATTAGTTTAACTATATATAGACATTTAAAAAAAATATTATTTTCTGTTTTATTTTATTTAAAAAAAAATTAACTAATAAGAATGACAAAAACAGACAATGAAATTCCTAAAACTTAAAGAAAATGTAAAAATAAAATTGAATTTAAAATATTAAAAAACTAGTATGCATGAATAGTATATAAAAGTATGGTATATAAATGCTTAAAAAAATGTAATTTTAATTGAGTAAAATGCTAAGATTTATTAAAAGTATTTTATAAAATACAGTAAAATGTTTAATATATAAGACATGAAATATGACATTATTTCAGTCTTTCCATGATTGATTTGTTAAATACATTTCAGTCCAGTTCAAATAAATGTATTAAATTTAGTTTAGTTAAATTTAGTTTTATATCTGTTACTACGCTTCACCAAAACTGGAATTAAAAGAAAAAAGTCTACATAGTTTGATTAAAACTATATAGACATTAAATAATAGTAGTTTATTTAATGTCAGACAGCTCCGTCAGGCCAAAGAAGATGCTCACAGGAAGGGGAATAATGTCTTGTATAAACAGGCTAAATACACACTGGAAAAGGAGATCAGAGTGGCAAAGAGGAATTATTCAGAAAAAATAAAACAAATTCCTCGTATGTGTAAACATACCTGGCAATAAAGCTCATTCTGATTCTGATTCTGATTTATTTTATTAAAAAAATAATTATTTGTATTTTATTTTAACTAATAAAAATGACAAGCACACAAGAAAATTACTAAAACTTTAAAAGTAAAGTGAAAACAAAAAAAATAAAAAATTAAATCTAATTTAAAATATTAATGAAAACTATAATAGTATATAAATGTATTTTAGTATATAAAAACTAAAATAACTCCGCACCAGTTTCATGATGCTGCTCATAATACTTAAATAAATGTCTTGTTGTACTGGTCTTATTGTGAAGTTTTTCATAACCTTGTATGAATGCAATGACTTTTTCCTTCATAACACCTCGTCCAGCTGCTAACGCTCCTCTCATTCTGACCGGCTGCTGATGGCAAATTCATTTGATTTGGCTGCAGACTTTAACACGCCCTGTGTGGCAACTTCAGCCCGAACCGCTGCATGACGAAATGGAAAGAGATGACGAAAGCTGTGTGTGTGTGTGTTTCACTGATGTTCAGGGTTTCATCGTAATGTTTAACCTTCCTCAAACATCAAACTGTGCAGAGTTCAGAGCGAAGGTCTTCAGATGTTCTTCACTCTGCAGTGACATCTGCACCTCTCCCAGTTTCTTCTGAAATGTAGAAATCTTGTTGTTGCATGCTCTAAAGTTTGCATTCGAGAGCTTTCCCCCGTGTGGGCTGGCTCTTGTGTTTTCTGGAGAGGTGTGTTGGTTTGTGTGCCAGGCGAAGGTCTTTCACCTCGTCCTGTGATGTGAACGGCGGCTCAAGGTCCCTTCAGATCAATGTTAAATCCACTACGTGACGCCTGTGAACATGCCATCAGCCATTTCTGCTGCATTTGAAACTCTGTCCTGCACTGAATATTAGCTGCTGCAGTCCAAGCACTCGGTCCAGTGAAGCATGCGTGTCCGTGTTCTTGTCATGTAGTGTTTCCTGCACTGTTTTGTTTTTGTAACATATATATATGATGGAATATGTTTTTGTTTTATAAAAATAATGTCCCAAATTCGTAATGAGTAGCATTTATAAACTTGATGGCAACAAAGGAGATGCTTTTAGGGCTTGCTGCAGTTTTCTGCTGGAAATAAAAACATTAAGATTAAATATATTAGTATTGCAATTAAGCAGTTTTACTAAAAAAAACAAAAAAAAAAAGTATTAAATAATTCATTTTTCAATGCTGTTTTTACTATGGTAATTTCTTATTTGTAAAATACTTTTAATAATAATAATAATAATAATAATTATTATTATTATTATATAGTCCTATTGATATATTTTTGGCCAAATTGTGCAGCCTTTACTATACTGCAGTCAGTTTTGTGTCAAAATAAAACCTTGATGGTTTATTTGAAAATATAGACATAAATATTAAAATTTTAAAGTAATATAAAATTATTGTATAGCAATTCTGCAGTTATACTGTAAAATAAATGTGTTCTTATTTTTATTAATGAATTTTCAGTATTTCTACACTAGTAATTTCTTATTTGTAAAATATTTTAATAAGCAGTAATATAATAATATTATTAATAAAATCAATAATAATTTGTAATTTGTAATAAACTTTATAAAAATACTAATATTATTATTAATAACAACAATTATCATTATAATCAATAATAAGAATGAACAATTATTTTTTATTTTATAGTCTTATTGACATATAATCACAGTATTATTTTTTTTAGGGGGGGGGGTCAAATTATGCAGCTCTACAATTAAGCACCACAAACCTGGAACTCTTTTTTGCCTTTTAAATTGTAAATGCAATTTTTACAGGTTTTTTTTTCCCTAATTATTCAGCTGTAGTGTATGTCGTGTGAACAGTCACTCTGTAAACGCTCATAACTCACAGCAGATCCGCTGCAGCAAACACTGAATGTGGTACATGTTGATGATGTTTTCTCTAGCTGTCTGTCGTCTTTTGCTAGTTGTTCGTTGGTTTGTCAGTCATGATTGTAGTTTGTGACTGGAGCAGAACGGTTACGTCACTGCTGGAAACGTCAGTCAGACAACAGATGGAGACACGCGTTTCCATCGTCCATCCGTGTGCATGAGGAAGGACACAGGCGACACCAGTGTTCAAATCTCCTGTTTCACTCATGCATGATGTTAGTGCATTTACATTCATGCGTTTAGCACACGCTTTTATCCAAAGGTTTTACTAGTGGGTGCAGGACACTATAGTTCATTTATGTAAGTGATTATAAATAAAGTAAAATAAAGTAAACTGTGACATATTATACACAAAAATTCTTCATACATTGGACTACCAGTAAAATTGATAAAAATTTGGGACCAAACATTATTCAGACACTTTGACCTGAGCATGTTTTGCTTAAGTGTTATCTGACATTATCAATAATGTTAATTATAATTAACATTATAAAAATTATAATTTGTTCTGACACAGTTTAACTCTGAGTTCTTGTCATATTTTATTACCATTTTCTAAACTATAGCGAATAAACTGTGATAATGTGAGAAATGTTGAAGGTGTCTGAATAAATTTTGGTTCGACTTTATATATATATGTGTGTGTGTGTGTGTGTGTGTGTGTGTGTATTACAGTGTGATTAATAAGCAAACAAATACACAGAGTACATAAATACTGGGTCAAATAATCACTTTTAACTAGATTTAATATTTTTCAGCATTGATTGAATTGCAGATACATTTATCTCATATTATCTACCATTTTGGATTTTTATTTTTTATTGAGCTTGTTGCAGTGCATCATGGGATTGTAGTATCTTTATTTAGGATTTTACCAATGTGACTTCAAGTTTTTCAGGATGATATTACTTGTATATATTCATTTGGACACTGTGAAAAAGATTTTTAGAAGTTGTAAAATAATACAACTTCAGTCTTTCTACTTCAAAATTTTACGTTTAATAATAAAAAAAAGAATGAAATAAAAATTAAAACAAATACATAATAAATATTAAAAATAAAATAAATAGTAACAAAAATGTAGTTTATTATTTTTGTTTTTTATTTTAATATTTGTTTTTTTTTTAGTTTTTGTAATATAATTTTATTTTTTTATTACATGTTATTGATATTGTTTTAATATTGTATTTATTGTTTTGTTTTTTTGTTTTTTTAAATCTTGCTATATAGAGGTTGTCGAACCAATGACTCGTTACAAATATTAGTGTAAATGGCTAATAACCTCCCAAAATATGTGAAATTTAATAGCAGTTTCTGAATGAAAGTTGTTTCACATGTTTCAGTGTATAAAGGAAAGTTTATGTCTGATCTCCATAAAATTCTAAGATAAGCAGCTTCATTATACATTACTAATAACGAATGATCGTGATAATGAAAATAAGAAAATAAAACTGCTGTAATGGCAATACTTAAAGTGAACATGCTTTAGAATTTGGCCAAAGCAAAGTTGTTTGCAGTTGCCAAGCAACAGAACATTCCAATGACAGGCACTTTAGAATTCTGCTGACACGGGGTCAAAGGTCAAATTCAAATACGGCCCGTTCAGTCAGAGTTCTGAATTGGAACAGTTTGTTGATATGTGATACCGTGTTTTGTGTGTGTGTGTGTTTTCAGGGTGAGGAGGGGCCGCCCAGTCTGGAGTACATTCAGGCCCGGGACCTGTTCCCCCAGAAAGAGCTGGTCAAAGAAGACGACGCTCTACAGGTCAGTTTCACGCCTGATGTCTGCTTTCTCCCATGCTGAGTTTCATCTCACATGTTCGTTCTCTGTAAAGAAAGTGGGTTAACACTCCTCACACACACACACACACACACACACACACAAACGTCTGTCCTCTGCGCTGAAATGTGTGTGAAAAGACAATCAAATGAGAGGTCTGGGGAGACGGTGGGTAACAGATGTGGAGGTGAAAAGAGTGAAATTCATCAAAAGGACAAAGCAATGACACCGACACAGCGGGGACGTCCAGAGACCAGACACGGGAACAAGAGCGCAAGAGCTTGACATTGACTCTTATTCTGTGACTTTGCACAAACACACGAGTCTAAATATAGCACTTAATGTCCATGTATTTCAGTTACTTTCTTAATATATGTTCCCTGTCTTTCTGTGATCAATTTATGAATGCATATTATATTAAGGTTTTTTGTTTGTCAGTGTAAAACTCGCCACTATGACGTTAGAGCGTTGTGAAGACGACAGTCTCATAGACTCGATTCTGGACACCGTATGACCTAGCAATCAAAAACACCCTAGCAACAGCATGTTGAATAACAAGCTCAAAAAATAGTGGTGGGACTATATTCTATTCTATTTTATTTTAATATTTATTATATATTAGTTTTATTTTAGTTTATATTTTATTTATTTTTGTTTAATTTTATTAATTTTTATTTAGTTTTATATTATTTTATTGTAATGTTTATTTTGTATTTGTTTTGTTTTTATTTTTATATACATTTAATTAAATGTAATTTTATAATTTTAATATTTAATGTTTATTTTTTGTATTATATAATTGTTTTTATATCTCGCTATATAAAGGTTGTTGAACCAGGGACTCATTACAAATATTAGTGTAAAAAATTAATTAAAATAAAAAAACAACAAAAAGAATATTAAAATGAAATAATACAAAATAAAAAAAACTAAATAATTAAAAAATATGTTTTAATTTAATTTTAATTTAATTTTATTATTTGTTTTCAGTTTTCTGTTTTTATATAATTTAAATTTCTATTAAATTTAATTTATTGTTATTTTGATATTTAATGTTTGTTGTATTTTTTTTATCTTCCTATATAGAGGTTGCCAAAACAGTGACTTATTACAAATATTTGTGTAAATGGCTCATAACTTCTCAAAAAAAAAAAG